CTCTAAATAAAAGTTGGTTTTATATTAAAAACAAAAAAAATACAGAGGCAATTTAATATTTTTATTAGCAGAAAAAATAATAATTTTTTTCAATTTCAGATTTTTTCTGAATACTTTTTTTGTTACATTTTTCGACAATTTATTCGGCACATTTTAAGACCGTCTTATTTTTTCGTGACTTTTTCATATCTTTCTGAAATTTTCAGGCAATTTCGTAATTTTTCGTGTTTTATTTGGAAATTTTCGGGATTTATATTTAAGTCGTAAGCTTTGCTTTTTGAGTGATATAAATTTAGAAGGAAAATTTGTCGATTATTTCTACTCAAAAAAATATCAGGCAAATTGTGTATAAAAAAGTATCGGGTTTTAGCAAACGGAATAATAGAAGCTTATGGCTAACCAATATTTCACTTCTTCTTCGTTCTATTCCATTTCATCTAATTTTTCATTATTTTATTTCTTTTCAACTAATTTCTCTTCATTTCAATTCATTTCGTTTAAATTCATCTCATTTCTTCCCTTTCGTTTTCGCTTCACTTCAATTCATTTTAATTTCATTTCACGTTATGTTCGTCTCACTTCATTTCATTGTCTTTTATTTCATAATATTTGCATTTCATTTGATCCCGTTTCCTTTTCATTTTATTTAATTTCACTTTATCTCATTTGACTTGACTGTACTTCACTTCATTTTCATTTCGTTCCAAAATATGTCAATTTATTTCCTCTAATTTCACTTCCTCTTCATTTCTGTTGATTTAATTTCATCTCATTTCATTCAATTTCATTTCATTTCCTTTCATTCAACTTTATTTCATTTCCTCCTTTTTCATTACATTTTCATTTCACTTATTTTTCATTGCGTTTCACTACATTTCATTTAACTTTTTTTCTTATTCCGTTTCATTTTCATCTCACTTCATTTTATTTTCTCTCATCTCATTTCACCTCAGTTCAATTTTTCTAACTTCACTTCAATCCACCTTACATCATTTTATTTTTATACAATTTTTTCATTCAATTTTATTCGATTTCATTTTATTTTGCTCTATTTGTATTCCCAATTTTTATTTATTTATTTATTATTGGGAGAGAAGCTCGGCAAACACTTACTAAAAGTTTAAGCGCCAAAATATTAATAATATTGTATTTGATTTTATTCCTTTTTATTTAATTCCTTTATTTTTTGTATGTATTTTTATTTTATTTGATTCTTATTTATTTCGTTTATTCAGATTTTATTTTTATTTTATGTTTTTCTTTTAACTATTTTTATTTAGTTTCAAAATGTTTTTATTTTAAATTTTATAATTTTATTTTTTATTATTTCAATTAAAATGATTTGCTGTTATTTTTATTATATTTTATTTTTTGACTATTTTTATTTTATTCTCTATATTTATGCTGTTTTTATTTGTTTACTAAAATTTTATATTATTTTTTTATTTTATTTAAGAAATATACAGTTTGTAATTTTTTGTTTGCTTTTATTTTTTATTTTATTTTTTTTTTAGTTTTTTTTTTTGTTTTCGTTTACTTTCAATTGAATTTTAATTCAAATTTTTTTTTTTAATTCTATTGATTTTCTGCTATTTTTCATTATATTTTAATTTAAAACTATTTATACTTTATGTTTTAGTTCCTTTAATATTTTATTTTATTTCTCCTATTTTTATTACTTTTTATTGTTACTTTTTAGTAATTATTTATTTTTATACCCGTGCGCACTTGTGCACAAGGGTATTATAACTTTGTTCACATAACGGTTGTTTGTAACAGGCAAAACGAATCGAGATAGATATAGACAAATGTATACATAAATGATCAGAATGAAAAGAGAAATCGATTAAGCGGTGACTGTCTGTCCGTCCGTCCGTCCGTCCGTCCGTCCGTCCATCTGTGCACACGATAACTCGAGTAAAAATTGAGATATCTTAACGAAACTTGGTACGTGAACTTCTTTTGGGCGTGGGACGGATGGTATTGAAAATGGGCGAAATCGGATAATAACCACGCCTACCTCCCATATAACGGTAATTTTAAGAAATACGAAAACTGCGATATTTTAGTAACTACTGAAGATAATTCACTCAAAATTGATACTTACAATGAGTTTCAGACGGAAAACATGAATATTATAAATTTTTGGAAAATGGGCGTAGCCACGCCCACTTATGGTTACATGTGTATATCTTGGTAACCGCTGCACCAATTTCTTCCAAACTTGGCACAGTTGTTGGCCTTAGTACAGCTTACTAAATGGCTGAAAATATAACTACTGAAGATAATTCACTCAAAATTGACATTTGCAATGAGTTTTAGACGAAAAATAAGAATATTACAAAATTTTGGCAAATGGGCGTAGCCACGCCCACTTATGGTTACATGTGTATATCTTGGTAACCGCTACACCAATTTCTTCCAAACTTGGCACAGTTGTTGGTCCTGGTACAGCATACCAACTGGCCGAAAATTTCTAAAATCGGACAATAACCACGCCCACATCCCATATAACGGTAATTTCGAGAAATACAAAATCTTCGATAAATCAGTAAATATCAAAGCTAATTTATTCAAAATTGATGATTGCAACAATTCTTTACCAAGAAATACGTTTATGACAAAATTTTGGAAAATGGGCGTAGCACCGCCCACTTGTGATCACATATATGTATCTCGCTAACCGTTCTAGCAATTTGTACCAAGCTCGGTATGGTTATTGTGCTTGCCACATAAAAGCAAACCGTTGAAAATTGTTGAAATCAAATTAAAATTGAGGCCGCTTTTCATATAACGGTAAATTTCAGATATGCTTGAAACTGCAATATTTCGAAATTTAAGGACGCTAATTTACCTAAAATGTATACACCCGGCTTATCATGTAGCGGTAGCTTTCGGAAAGGTGGAAAACATATATTTAATACTTGCGCCGGGTATTTAATGTTCGGCTCCGCCCGAACTTAGACTTTCTTACTTGTTTTATTTGGTTTTGTTTTGCTTTTTTTGTTTTAATTTATTTTTAATTTTATTTTATATTATTTTTAACATGTGAGGCCTTTTATTTTTAAATTTGTATTTTGTTGGGTTAGCTTTTTACTTCATGTACTATTTTCTATTATAAATATTTTATTTTATTTTGTTTTGTTTTATATTTTACTTTGTTTGTGTTTTAATTTATTTTCAATAATTTCTTATTTTTTTTTGGTTGGTTTATTTTATTTTATTTAAGTTTGTTTTTTAAATTTTATTTTATCTTATTAGAATGTCCCTTCTTTTGGTTAGAACTCCATTCGTCGCCTATATTCCCCCAAAAATTTAAACACACTCCCTGAAAGCAGTTTTGCCCAATTCCACTCATTCAAATTTCGCCCTAATGTTTCCCATACATTAATATTCCACAACAGCGCAATCCTTTTGTATCCCTGCTTATCCTAATTCCCATACAAACACGCACGCACGCATCCCAAACTTTCTTCACTGACTCCCCTACCCGCTCGTAACCCTTCTTATCAGCACTTTACCGTTTTGCGTCTAAAAATATTTATTGATACCACATACACGCACACAAGCGCAGCTGTTTTCATATGTATGTACATACATATGTACTTGCATATATGTTTAAGGAACAATATTATTTTATTTTTATTTTTTGCGGCTTTGCGGCAATTACACCAAACAATAACAAAAATTGCTATCGAATTACTTCGAGTAAAATGCCAACTTTCTAATGCAAACGCCAAGGCGACTAAATCCGGCAATTTTCGTTGAATTCACAAAATGTTCGAGTGCTGTTTGTTGCCTATGAGCCGAACTGGCAACCTTTTTTTCCTTTGAACCCATTTACATCATTCTTTCTCCCCGCTGTGGCACTTCTCGCCGCCCCTTTGATTGCTATCTGCTCTTCGGCTTTTGCCTTAACTGGCATTTAACAGCTTCCTGCGTCGGCTATAGCCTTTACGCTTATGTTCCCATATACCTTTGCTCATTCACATCTGTGTGTCATACATACATACCCTGTAGGGAAAATCTCTAGTTCTGAACTGGTGCGCTTCTAGTACGTTTAGACCCAGTACTGGTGCGCGTTAAATCTCTTTTGTATGCAAACAATTGGCGAATTTAACATGACGATGTCCTAGGAAGTGTCAATTGTCCCCCGATGCATCCCTTTTTCGATAGCTCCGAACTAAATTCTATAGTTCCAAACCAGTTCTAAAATCGACAGACGAAAGAAAAAACTATCATTTCGCTGTAGCTGACTTTGCAGAGGTGCTCGCTAGTATCGGTTAGATTCCAGACGGTCCCAAGATGTTAAAATATTCACACAAATTTTTGTTTTATATTATCAAACTATGAAAAAGCATCTGCGAAGTGCAGAATGGAAGCGTATTTGAACGAAAAAGTCGCCAAACACATATCTATGTAAAGTACGAAACTAAAAATTTGTTTCACTAGTTCGCGGTTTCCCTGCAGGGTGTGTATGTATGTAGGCATATGTGTAGGCGTGACAATGTGAAGTTTTTATCCCTTTTGCCCTTTTTTGACAGATTGCTTAAAATTTTAACGTGTGTGGGTGGTTTATTTTATTTTCTTTTCGATTGCCTTTATGTGAGGTCGTTTTAGAGATATTCGTCTAATTCTCACACCAAAATCCTACGTATATATTTTCCCTTTTATTGAGTTTTTAAAATCATCACAAAGAGTGTAGAAATTTGTGGGAAATCGAAAACATGTATACGACATCATTAAAAATAGGGATGACAAAGTAACGGAGTACATTCTCCACGACAAGGTTAGGCAAATAAAATAATAAAAAAATACCATTTTTGCAAAAAATAAAAATTATTGTTGCTTGTTCAAAACAGTTTTTCATTTAAAAACGGCCTCGAGCTCAATAAAATTGTTGAATATAAAAAAAATATAAGTAAGGGAAAAGAATTAGATTCCTCAGTGGAAAGGCCAGCGGCGCCTTGGCCCGGGAATCCAGGCCCGGGAGTCAAAGAATGGGGAACATGATGGTGTCGGTTTCAGTAACTCGCGAGCAACGTGAGTCTGCCGGTGGAGCGTTCGATCCCTCGGACAATGGTGAGAAAATCGGTCAAAGTATTAGTTTCAGAGTGTTGGCGAGCGCACGCTCGTCGCTCCAGACAACGGCGAAAGTATCAATGAGACGCCGCAGATACACTTGTGCATAGATTAGTGGCTTCAAGTAAGTATGGGAAATCTGGTAACCACCGATAGATGAACTTGTGGATCGTATGGTAGCTGGCTCCAGACAAACATCTCCTATCGCTTGTTTACCTCGATCACCTCCTCGGCAGCCTAATATTGCCGCCAAAGAGTGCTAATGTCTTGCGATGCTGTAATAGGATGTTCACACAAGCCGGGGAAGAAGTGCAGTGAGTGTGGGAAGTTCACAGTTGGCGAACGAAAATATTACGCGCTGAGCTTGGCTGGTTGGGCTGGCTATGTGTGATGAAGGCCGTGCGAATATCTCTTTCGACACCTATTCAGACCCTGTATTTCGCGTAAGAAAATTCGCAGTGGCTGATTAGCGGAACAGACCATTGGAAATGTTTGCAAATTGTAGCGTAGCAAATGCTAAGCTACAGAAGTAAATTGACAGGGCGTTTTGAGGTTGCTGTAGGATCGAAACCCGAACTTAACAACGTGGGATTAAAAAAGACTTCACGTTTTGAATAATTATATGAGTATGCGGAATATTTACTTTACCCGCACCATGGGCACTTGTCTTACTTGGGTCACGCTTCAAGTAGCTGACCCTCAAAGACGCAGGAAGTGGCTAAATTTCCCTGCTGACAGGGTATTCGGGTTGACGAATTTAATAAACCTGAATACATGTGGCCGTAGGAGGCGAGCAGCGATGATAACACCGATGACATTGTCCTGGTTTGAGATGAGCAAGTGAACGACCGAGCAGTCTCTTGACACCGCGAAACTTACAAGTCACCCTTAAATATAACAAATTGCGAATAATCTGCGAGCTTCTAATTTCGCTGGAGGCGGAGTTGTTCGATGTAGCGCAACTATAGTATCCAGACTGAAATACTTCGCGCTGAAAGTGGAAGTCAGGAGTTCTCACTTACGGTACGAGTAAATACTTCATACGGATGCGATACACAGAAGATCATCAGCTGTTTGATGAAATGCAATGCGGTTCTAGAGATCGCTGGGCGATGTTTAAGTCGTCAGGATACTCTTGCTGTGTTACATGTGTGCCTAAAAATATGCAACATCTAATGGGGATAATCATCATTACCTCAGTCACTCAACTTAATGCTGCATACTTTTAGGCAAATCTGTTATTAATTATAGATTTTTCAGCGATATGAGTTTTAAACAATTTTTTATGGCTTTTTTTATTATTCAATATAAACTTACGCACCTATTTCTAACTCGAATTAACATATTTTTAACTTGCTTTAATCAATACATTTTGTTACCAAAAAAATTAAGCTTCAATTTGTAAATAAGTCCCGGTATGTCAGTAGCACAAAACACATTTAATTTTTTTTCACTTCAACTTGCTAATGAATTTTTAATTTGAATTATCTGTTTACACAGCAACTCTGAAAGTTCAAAATGAAAAAAGAATTTAAAACTTTTCACTTTGTCCACGTTGATTGACTGGCACAGTGCTACGTTTAAATTAACGCCAGCTCGGTAGCTTTAAATTTGGGCTGCCTACCTTTACATAGCAAAGGAGTTTTACAAACTTTTTATTTGACGGCGAAAAAAATCACTGAAATTTGAAAACCACAAAAGGAAATTTATGTACACTTATTTACATATTATTTTTGGGCGCACAAATAACAAATAACAAACAAGCGAAAAAAACTGAAGTTCAGTGCATCAGAGTACAGAGATTTCCATATATGGACAGAGAGCTCGCTGTTATTCACTCTCAAAAGTAAATGAGAAAAATTTTACTAATTGCGTTGTAAATTTTCCGTTTTTTTGGCATTTTCTTCGACGTTCTTGAGTACAGCATTAGTTTTCGGGTCAGTTGGGTTCACTTTTTGGATATTAGATGTTTGGAACTTTTTTTTTTACTTTTTGTGAATATTTCAGGGTTTCAGATTTTTTTTCGGGAAAATTTTTATTCGGTACGTTTTTGTAATTTTTTAATTAGGTATTTAAATTTTTCAGTCTTCTCGGGATTTTTTGTAAGCTTTCTGGACATAGTCACAGATTTTTCAAAAATTTTTGGAATAAAAAAATTTGATTTTCCCACGACTCTGAGAGATTAGATTTTTAGTATGTTTTTTTTTTTTACTTTTTGTTAGAAATACTATCTTTGAGGCTCTTAAGGTTTTTTCGGGACTATCAAAATTTTTATTCGGTACGCTTTGTAATTCGTTAGGGACATATTTAAATTTTTCGGTCTTCGCGCGATTTTTTTTAGAAGCCTTCCGGATATTATCGAAGATTTTCCAAGACTTTTTGGATATACAAAACTAATAACAAATTTTACATTCTTTTCGCTTTGCAAGATTTTTTGGTACTTTTTAGGATATTTGCAGATTTTCAGCTTTCAGAAATTCACTACGATTTTTCGGAAGATTTCGAAATTCCTCATTTCAACGTTTTTGGGTACTTTGGCGTTGTTTTTTGAGTCAATTCGGAACTTTGTCTTGACTTTTGAGGCTTTTTCAAAAACTTTCAAAAGTTTTAGTGCGAATTTTGGAATGTTTCAAGGATTTCTGAATTTTTTCAGGGCTGTTCGAAACTTTTTGCATACTTTACGGAATTTATTTTCTGCTTCTTTCAGGCATGTATTGAATTTTTTGGGGTTCACGAGATAGTTTCGGGACCCATATGCACATTTTCAAATTTATGAGGTTTTCGAAAAGATTAAACAAAATCATATATTCACATGACTTTTCAATACTTTGCAAGATTTTAAGGGCTTTTTTGGTGCCTTTCGGAACGTTTAAGGATTTTCAGTGCCTAGAGACTCAGGCAATTTTCGGAAACTTTTCGATATATTTATTGAAATTTTTTTTAGGACTTTAGCGTTATTTTTCGGTATAATTTGACATTTTCTTAAGAGTATTTAGGGATTTATTTCTTCTTTTTTTATATGAGCTATTTGTGCATTATCGGTGCCCAATATTACGTAGGTATTTTGCGCAAACTTTTGGCGATACATTTTGGTTCTCTGAATACTTTTTGGAACTGCTCATAATTTTTCAAGACTTTTTTTCGGGGTAGTTTGAGTTTATCCCATGAGTTTGCGGGGCTTCATAATATTGAAAATCTTTTTTTGTGGGTATTTTCGTGATTTTTCGTGAAACTTCGATGCCAGCTTCTTTTTATAAGATTTTCTGTGTTTTTAGAGGTTTTGTGATTTTTCAGTACTATTCGTTTTTTCTGTTCTATTAAATTGATTCCTCTTAGTAAGTTTATTTTTATTTTATATTTTTTTGTGTAACAGAACAAGAGAAGATCTTTTGTATCTTTTAAAGAGAGAGTCTCTAGCCCTCTTTTTTCTCTTAAAGCGTATTCAAATTTATAGGGAGTTTGCTTAATTTTTTTTGAAATTTGCAAACATTTTATTTAATATCGGAATTTTCTAAATTTTACGTTTTCAAGACATTTTGGGGTGCTTTGGGAACTTTTCTGGGCTTTTTCGGGGCTCTTCGTGATTTTTTGTCATATTTTTGGAACATTTCTTTCTTAATTTTTCTATACTACATAACGGATTTTTTCGGTACTATTCATTTTTTCGATTTTTTCTTTTATTTTCTATTTTTCAATTTTTCCCCTTTTAAGGTTTATTCAAATTTATAGGGAGTTTGCACAACTTTTCTGAAATTTTTTTAATGTTTGGGTATTTTGGGAACTTTTCTGGGCTTTTTCGGGGCTCTTCGTGATTTTTTGTGATATTTTTGTGACATTTATTTTATATGTTTCGAGACCTTTTACAGTATTTTGAATTTTTTTATATCTTTTTAGATTATTTTGGCTTTTTTAAAATTTAAAGAAAAATTTTATAATGTTGTTTTTGCGTGGAATTTTGTTTAGCTTGCTTTAGCTTTCTTTAAGATCTGTTGGAAATGTGCCTATGGATTGCATTTATTTTGTACTTTTTTAGTTTTATTGATTTATTTAATTTTTTTGTTATTACTCTGCACTATTCCGGAAGAATACGGGGAAATTTTTAAACCCTTCCATTCGCAAATTAATGATGAAATTTAATTAAATGTGAATCGAGGAGGAGATACTGCATTAAAAAAATGCGTTAAAATGATTTATTTGACAAGAAAATAAAACATTAAATTGCATATCGACTGTTGTAAGCTGACCGCCTTTGGGAAATCTGCGCACAAAAGCTAATATTTTCTACATTCACTTGGCACTGCTCTAGCATTCTAATGAAATTCTACACCAGCAAAGCGTACGTTTAGCAAGATTTTTTTTTTTTTTTTTTTTTTTTGATAAACTGTGCTAATATCAATTGCAACACTGAGACGCA